CGATCGCGAAATATTCTCTTTGTAATTTCAAAAATCTGTGTGAATTTCTTCTTCATTGTACAGAAAATTGTTCTAATCAGATTCTGGGTGATTCGGAAAATTTCTTCACTTTGCGTGATCTATAAATAAACTGAAGCGAGATTTGTGATCCACGGATCGTTGGTTGATTAGGTGAGTTTTTTTTTTAATCACAATTCATGATCTCGATTCTGTTTTTTGGTTTTTGGTGAATTGTGATTGTAAAATTTCTTCGAATCTGATCATTTCAAATTTTTCGAATCAATATTTTCATTCGTCGGGAATTTTCAGTTTCGTCGAGATCTGATCATGAAGATGACGTTATTGTTTTGTTTCTGCGTAAAATTTCCGGCGTTTGAGTTACTCTTGTTCCGATGATCTCATTTTTTTTTTGCGTTTCGTTGATACGTTGCGGCATGTTTTTTTTTTCAAATAAAATTGAAAAAGTGATCGAGGGTTTGGGTTTTCATTGTTGTCTTGTTGATCTGATCTGTATAGGGTTTAGTTGATCTTCTTGATTTTGAATCTGATCTTCTTCAATATTCATAAATCTCCAGCTTATATCGGATCTATAGAACACTAATTATACTGTTTTTTTTTGCAGCTTGTTTGGTTATGCATAATTGAGAGATGGTGGTGAAGAGGAAGTTAAATTGTGGCTCTAATGGTTTTGATTTCCCCAATATTCCCAAGGCTCCTCGTTCAAGCAGGGTAAAGATTCAGTGTGCTTCATTTGGATTCGTTTTCTCTTTTTTTTTTTGTTTAGATTCGTCTCTTGATGACTTGTGGTTGCTGTTTTGTAGAGGAAGGTATCAAGTAAGATAGCTGATGACGATGGTGATGACAGTCAGATCTGTGCAATTGATTTGCTCGCTTCTCTGGCTGGGAAGTTGCTTGAAGAAAGCGAAAGTTCCTCGTCTACCAATGCATTTGAAGGGGATAATCACCATCATTTGGGTGGAGTGATTAAGAAAGAACATGAAGATGACTACAATAAGACTATTAAATCCGAGTTTTCTGATCTAGGAAACCCTGCGTCAAAGTCGACTAGTGAGAATACTAGCGAGACGTGTTTGCAGTTTTCGTCTTTGGAAAATGATTCCATTCTGGAGAAAACACCGATTTCTGATTGTGGCAAGGCTCGTGGTCTTAAGCCCTTAGTAGGGTGTGAAAATAAGAAAGGGAATTCTGATTTGCTTGTTGAATCAGTGGTTACCACTGAGGAGACGGGTGTTGTTAATGTGGATGCCGGGTTTGTAAAAGGAGAAGCCACCAATGGCTTGGACGATGGTGGTTTAGTCGCTGATACTTTCAGCTTAAAGGATCCAAGTCAAGTACAGCTGCAGAGTCCGGAATCAGTCTACCTGGATGGCGATGTAAAATTGCCATCAGGCGCATATCGCGTCCCTAATGGTTCTTTTGAAGGATATGGGAATAAGTCTAAGTTAGTTCGTAGAGATGATGACGAAAACTATTGTAAGTACTACAAATTTAATGACAAATGTAAGTCATATAGGCCTTTGGCACGGGTTGGAAATCGAAGAATGAAGAAGTCAATGGCAAAATACGGGAGAGCAGTCCCCAGGTCAAAGTGTTTTGAAGATACTAGAACAGGTTAGTATCATATTCTACTGTGTTTCTCTTTAGTGCATCCTTTTTAGCTGCCACTCTGTTCTTACCATGCTTCCGTATATATGTCTAGATGCTTTGAAGGCTCTGTATCGCAAGAGAAAACTATATTATGGCTACAATTCATGGAAGCATGAATCTGTTCATAAGAAGAGAAGATTGTCTGACAAAGGTTTGGTCGTAAATTCTGATGGAGGACTCAGTAGTGAAAGTGTTTCCAATTCACCTGAGAAGGGAGAATCAGGTTTGTATCAGTCTATATCCAGATGCTTCATTATCTGGCTGGTATGGTTTTGATTTCATGAATTTTTTGCCTCTTTTTTTAAATGCAGAAAATGTCGTTTTCTCTGCAGCAGTAGGTCTTCGTTCAAAGGACTCCCGTGGTACTTGATCAGCTGATAATTCACAGTCATTTCGATCGAGACATGATATGTGGTTCTTATGTTATGTTCATTGTTTGCAGTAAAGTTCAGCATCAAGTCCTTTAGGATTCCGGAGCTTTTTATTGAAGTTCCAGAAACAGCAACAGTAGGCTCACTGAAGGTGCATGATCAAATGTCTTTTCCTGTCATTATCTGTAGATATTTTGGTTCTGCAGTGTACGTGAACTGTTATTTTCATAACATTATTCGTGACCCTTAACACTTTTGGTTACAGAGGACGGTGAGGGAGGCTGTTACTGCTTTACTCGGTGGTGGAATACGTATTGGGGTGTTAGTCCAAGGGAAGAAGGTTAGAGATGACAATAACACTCTATCGCAAACTGGTCTTTCGTGTAGAGAAAATCTAGGCAACCTTGGCTTCACCTTGGAGCCTGGTACCGAGAAATTGCCTGTACCTCTTTGCTCTGAAAATCCTGCCGTTGCTGTGCCAACTGATTCTACAAATTTGTCAGAAAGGTACTAATCAATTTGCTCTTATAACGTTTTTTTTTTTGCCTGAAAGTTTTGCTTTTCTGTATGGATAAATTTGAAGCGCTAGAGATATTTCCTAATAAAAAGCATTTCTTACGATCTTGCCAGGTCCGCAGCTTCTCCCGTTTTAGATTCTATAATTCCTTGCCCTCTCCAAGATGCAGATCACCTGATTAACTCGGGAAATAGTGTGGAGAATAACCATGAATTAGTCCCATATCAGAGTGAGATATCAACTGATGAACAACCTTCATCAGACTCAAGAGCGCTGGTTCCAGTTTCGGCCTTGGAACCTGAGGCTCTTGCAATTGTTCCAATTAGCGAGAAACCTAAGCGTACAGAGCTTTCACAGCGTAGAACCAGGAGACCATTCTCTGTTACAGAGGTAGAAGCTCTAGTACAAGCAGTTGAAGAAATTGGGACTGGAAGGTAAAAAGACTGGTTTCGGTTGATGTTGATTAATACGATAACTCGGTTCTGGGGCCAACTAATAATGATCAATACTCTTATCTCACAGATGGCGTGATGTGAAATTGCGTTCTTTCGAGAATGCAAGCCATCGAACCTACGTGGACTTGAAGGTAAAAAACACATAGCAGTCAAACACACTTATAATCCTATTGTAAGCATAATGGTTCCAATAACCGTGTGATGGTTTTTCTTCGCAGGACAAATGGAAAACGTTGGTTCACACAGCAAGTATTTCACCGCAGCAACGAAGAGGTGAACCAGTGCCTCAAGATCTGCTAGACAGAGTGTTGGGAGCACATAGGTACTGGTCACAGAACCAAATGAAACAGAACGTTAAGCCTCAGGCGGCTGCAACAGTGGTGGTTAAATCAGGTTCGTCCATGTAAAGAAGGAGAAAAGTAATTACAGTAACTTTCACTTGACGACTAAGGAACCAAATGTGGGCAACTGTACAAAGGCAAAAACAACAGAAAACCATACTTTTATTTAATTTCTTGTTCCAACTTGAGA